TGTTGTATATTAATCTGTTTTTAGTAAAAAAAATAGAAAGTTTGAAAAAAAATAATTCTCGGCGTTGATGGGTTAAACAAAATTTATATCTTACTATAAAAATATATTATGATGATATTTTTATACCAAAATAATAATAGTCCCCAATTGAGGTTTCACTTATTACTCACTTTTTAAATATAAAAAGTCAAAATATAATTTATATTATAAAAAAAAACTTTATGAAAAGTAATTTTTTGTTTTAGTTTGCTTTGCATGTATACAATTCTCTTATACTAGCTGGAAAAAAATACAATTTAAGACATGCTGGCTGCTATGCAATGAAAGCTTTAAGGGTGGAAAAATTTTATGCATTTTGGGGTCAAGATTTAGATACTTCGACTACACCCTTGGAATGCGGTCGTTCATGGAGAGTAAAATTTGATGTAAGATGAATGTGCTAAATAACTTATAATAATATTAAGTTATAAAATTTTAAATATTGTAGAAAGGCATCAATTTTATTGGAAGAGATGCATTACTTCGTCAACGAGAAGAAGGTATAAAACGAATTTATGTTCAGTTATTATTGAATGATCATGATCCTGATATAGAATTGTGGTCATGGGGAGGTGAACCAATTTATAGAAATAAAAAATATGTTGGTGCAACTACAACAACTAGTTATGGGTTTACATTTAAAAAACAAGTAACTTCATTATTTAATTACTAATTTAATAATTGTTCAATATATTGCAGTATCAATACTATGGGTATATCTCTATAAATGACATTTTGTGATAATTTACTTCTAAGTTTTGATCTCTCATTGAGTTACATTGTGTAATTTCTTTTTTTTTGTATTCAAAATAATATTTATATTACTTTTTATTGATAGAGCTTGAATCATTAGATAGAGAATACATTTTATTTCATTGTTATTATCTCTTTTGTCTCTATCCTAACTATCTGAGGTTGGTTCTACCTTATAATGATTTGACAGGATTTTTACACTGACTGTTGATCTGACGTAATCTCATTATGGCTAAGAGAGACTATAAGGTGTGTAACACTTAAAATTCCTGTATGGTCATAGATCTGGGGACTAATAGTAAATAGTGTTGCTGATCATCAACACTAATATAGTGATTGAATAATCCACTGCGCTAAACCACACACAGAATAAACTATATATAATTGTCTAAAATTTTAATAATAATATTTTTTAATATATGTTCCTATTGTAGTTATAGCGATATAATTATTCAATTATTATATCCCCATTCTAAATGCATTCCATTTTAATTATAGGTTTGTCTAGGCTTCGTTCAAAATATAGATAATTTAGGTAACACTCATCCAGTTACAAATGAATATGTAATGGCTGGTGAATATGAAGTTGAAATTGCAGGAATAAGGTACCCAGCCAAGGTTAATATAAATAGTCCAAATTTACCAACGAAATATCCAGATAAGGAACGTGAATCATACTTTGCTACTAGAGATAAAATGGTATCAGAGCCTCTATTGCGACATTAATAAAGATCTTCATTGTGTCCATTATTTTCATAATACCCTAAATTATACAAATAATGTTCCCTAAATATTTTTCTGTATTAATATATATTTCACAAGTATTATCATATAATATAGCTGTATAAGCTGTAATTTAATATTTGATATATCCTTTTTTTATGTTTGGGCTTTATATGTTCCACAAATAAAAACTATTCTAGTCAAATTATCAGTTATTTTTCTTTGTCATTATTAAATCATTTTAATATAATAAAAAATGTGTAAAAAAAAATGACAAATTTTATTTTTTATTGAATAGCATATAATAGTGTTAATAAACATAACACTGTGTTATGCTTATATTGTAAAATAATTTAAACTTTATTCAATATATAATATTACTTATTGATATAGATAGGAACATAGTTAAGTGTAGTTGAACCTCCAAACCGTCTCATAAATTATTCATATCTACATCTATGGTTATGAAAAACACAAGGCTAAATAATTATAATAATGTAAGATATTAATTTCTTTTACTTGTTGGCAAAAAAAAAAAGCTATATTTCTATTTATTTTTCAAAATGCATCACTTTTAATAGGATGAAAAAAATTTAAACCTTTAATCTTTTAAAACCTAAAACTATTTTATATATAAAGGAATTGATCAAAAATATTTTTGAGAATTAATTGCTAGCCTAAATTAGATAGCCATATACTTACTTATTTACTGCAAAATTGACGTGAGTCTAAAAATTTCATAAGTGCTCCTTGAAAATAAAGCAAGATAATTTTAATAATAAAAAGACAACCCAGCACAGTGGGGTCGTGGCATAGTTGTTTCCAGTATAGATGATATCTGACAGTGATTAAAATCACTATCATAAAAAACGCGTCGATGCAAATCTGTAGATAGTGTTTAATTTAAAAAATAAAATTTGTTAAAATAGCATATTTTTGAATATGGTAGCCATTTGCGCATAGTAGATAGGTCGTCGGGACAAATTTTTTTTTTTCATTTTATAGTACATGACATAAGTTTTAATTTTGATATACGTTTAAAGGATGCAGTATTTTCGGAACATTTTCAAAAATTAAGTTGAAAATGTTAATTTTTGTAAAAAAGTTGCTATTTTAAATCT